CGTGGCAGGCCTTACTCCATGATTTTATTTGCCCTGTCTCCCAGTCAAAAATGGGATTGTGAGCACGTAACCATGGATACCCTAATACTAACTGTGAAGAGGGAGAGGTGATAACCTGGAATCGAATGGTTTCGTAGTGTAAAACCCCTGTGTACATGTGTAGTGGTTCAGTCTCATGAGTAACAACTGGAGAACTTAATGGTCTACCATCTATGGCCTCAACGGCCAAGGGTATCTCCTTCTCTCTGATGGGAATGTTGTTTCTCTTTATAAAGCCAGAGTCTATAAAATTTTCAGCTGCCCCAGAGTCAACCAGAGCATATATGTTGTCAACTATACAAATCTCTCCCATATATAAAGAAACCGGGAGAAGCAAGCGGTTAGGAGGCAATTTAGGAGACTTAGATATCACACCCAAGGCCAGTCCCCTATAAGGTCTTAGGTGCGAGAGTTTTCCGGGAGTAAAGGACATTCCTTTACCATATGGTCTCTCCTACCACAGTATAGGCAGAGTCCCTCCCTTCTCCTATGTAATTTCTCAGTATCAGAGAGTTTGGCAACCCCTAATTGCATAGGTTCCTCCTCAGACACTTTAACACTCTCTGGTATATTAACTCTGGGGTTAATGGGTGTAACAAAACGTCTATTCCTGTTCTTGGTATAGAGCCTGTCACGAATTCTATTATCAATATCAATGAGGTAATCGATAAGGTCCTCTAAGGCAATAGGAAGCTCCTTAGCTGCTACCTCATCCAATATCGTATCTGACAAACCTTCCATAAAGGCAGTAGTTAACCCATTGTTGGTCCAATCTACCTGCGAAGCAAGAGTGCGAAACTGAATAGCATAATCAGCCACAGACCTAGAACCCTGTTTAATTCTCATTAATGCTCTTGCGGCATTCTTTGACCTTTTCATTGTGTCAAAAGTTCTACGAAAAGCCGTAAGAAAACTGTTGAAATCATGTACCATAGGCCCATTAGCTTCCCAAATAGGATTTGCCCACTCAAGTGCCTTATCGGTAAGTTGGTGCATAAAGAACCCAACCTTAGACCTCTCTGTGGGAAATGAACGTGGATACATTTCAAAGTGAAATTCAATCTGATTAATAAACCCTCTGCAAGTCTTAGAGTCCCCTCCATACCTAGGAGGAGGTGTTAAATGGGCCGAAGTATTAGGCAAAGTAGATACTTCAGGGAGAAGGGGCGTAGGAGGGTTAGGTGTAGTTGCTGGAACGGTTCTAGCTAGGAGCGTCTGGAGAGCCTGAGCTATTTGATCCATACGGTGATCCTGCTCTACAAATCTTGCCTCATGGGACGCCATCTGTTGAGCTAAATCTGCGGGGTCCATGGCCCTATCGTAATGTAACGAGAATATACCCCTACACGCAGGATCCAGCTAAACAGAGGCAAATACAGAGGAGAGATACGTCTACCGGACCTTAGAATGGCCGGACTCGACGTATATGAGAGGAGACAGAGCCAGGAACAAACCGAGGTCAAGGGCACAGAGAGACAGCGTAAACTAGGACAAGCCGGGGTCTGGTACACGGAAAACAGCAAGCCGGCAAACAGTACAGATAAGGATAAAGCGAAAACGAAGTCAGAATACGAAGCCAAAGTCAATACGAGAAAACACAAATGAACACCACAAGCGCTAAAGGGAACTGAAACAGAAACCACGATAGGGCAAGGAACAAAGGGAAGAAGGTGAGTATAAATACCTAAACATCTAATTTGATTGGTCCCTGTCACATCCACGCCCCCAAAAGGTAAGTGTATGGGGAGTGTGGCATGACAGGGACCAATGGGATGCCTTTTCCAATTTAGGCACCCACTGTCCCTTTAAGAGCGCGCCCGAGACTCGCGGCGCGCTCTTAGTTTCAGGCGGGACACGTGACCGCCTCACGCGGTCACTGCCCGCCCTCCATCCGAAGTAGTTGGATGAGCCGCGCGCGGCTCGTGCAGCCGCAGGACCGCGCGCGGCTTGAAGAGAGGACCGCGACCGGCCCCCGGTTAAGGTAAGTAACGCTACAAAAGCAGAGTGTGGTCAATAAAGTTCTTATTGTATCCCCAGGACTGTGTGTCATCCGGTTACTGGGTGGGAAATGGGTCTGTACGTACTATAACTGATTCCCTTCCAGGGACAAGATGTAGCTGAACAAGGACAACCGGGCGAGTGGTCAGCAGGCCCACTATAGAGGTCAATAGAATTAATGTTCCTCCAGAGTTGAGGAGGGTTAGGCTGAGGTTTTTGGGTGAGGGGGTACTCGAGAGCAAATGAAAAGAGGTGGTGTTCAGAGAGAGGAAATGGAGTGTTGTAGATATTAGATACTGTAAATGCTTACAAGAAAATGAGGTTCAGGGTATTTAAAGGAACTGTATGGGCACCAAAACACCTTTATTAAAATAGGGTGTTCCAGTGCTCAGAACTGTCTGGAGCTTCCTTACCTGAAGGTTGCTCTCCAGTGCCAGATCTCCCTTTCCCCAGCGACATCCAGCTTCTTCAATTTAGTTTCAGGAGGGCTGCCAGGCAGGGATGATACAGATTGCCTACAGCGGTCAGCTGATGCTCTAACAGTTTAACCCCTTCAAGTAAAAAAGAGCCAGAAATCTCTGGGCATTTTAATTGTTATGGTGTCGATAGTTTGTTTTAAAGCATCAAATGCTGCATGATGCACAGACTGGTAATCTCTACAAACCCCATGCCAATACTGGATGCTCAGTTTATTTTGTTTTGGTAGCTCTATACAGCCCTCATGTACTTCCTTGACTGGGTCATTCTATTTTGGAATAGGATCCTTTAAATGTACTATTATAACAGCAGGCTGTTATTTGTCCTTAAGAAGTTAATCAGACTTTGACTTATTTTTTGTTCAGTATTAACTCATAGTCTGTGTACACACCTGGAAATAGAATGATTCTTTACCTGCTCATAGCACATTCCACCTCTACAGTCTTATAGATTTTAACTCAAACAGGATGTCTATTTTATTTTTTAGTTTGAACCAAGGTTCAGGATTGAAATAATTTGGAGCAACTCTACCAAATGTAAATAGTAGATCAGACCTTTAACATATAAACAAAATTTATTGAACAGGAAAGAGATCCAGACAGGCTTTATCGAACTTGGAAAATTAACATCTTTGAAAGCAGAGAACGTGTTTTTTTTGCATCAAGGCCAGATGGATGTGATTTATGAATGTGGTGTAATAAATCTGTTGTACACCCCTTGCCTAAACCACACAATATCCACCTGCTAATCATGAGTAATAGTTTTTTGTGTTAAATAAGGATCTGGTTTAGAAATGACACTTTTTGGAGGTTTATCAGGCGTCTGCAGGATGAAGTTGGCAAAAAGAATTCCTGGATGTTTCATTACCGTGTGGAATAGGTTAGCCAGCTGAGAAGTAAGAAAAACAAAAACTGTTTTGGCAATGCATCAAAAACGGCAAGCTTATTGGATGGAAGGGTTTTAACCCCTTAACAACACATGACGTGTGACATGTCATGATTACATTTTATTCCAGAAGTTTGGTCCTTAAAGGGTTTTAAAAACAGTCATTTGTCCAAGTTCTGAACCAAAACAAAACCTGGAATTTGAGCTAGAGGTCTGTTTAACCATAATTTACCTCTTTCATATTAAGTACACCCACACTTCTTACATATCATTTTGTTCAGGAGCAGGGCCGGACTGGGAGAAAAATTCGGCCCGGGCATTTTTTTAACACAGCGGCCCACTAAAAAGGGGGCGGGGCAGAGGAGGTGTGTTTTGTCATCACCAATGACAAACATGCCTCCTCTCAAAGTGAGCATGTTGGTTCAATGCTCTTCCAGGGCAGACCATGCGCAGAGCTCTGCTGAAGAGCTCTAGCATGAGAAAAAAGTCCTGTATTTGTTCTGCACAGTGCAAGCAAATTTAATAACATGCTTGCACTGTGTTTCCTTGCAACTTGTCTCTGGTGTCTCTATAAATGGATACCAGGAGACAAAAGGCCAGGAAAGAGTATTGTGCATGTGTTTGGAGCCTGCTTGTGGTATTGCGTGTGTGTAGAGTGAGCTGGTCGTGGTGTGGTATTGTGTAATAAGGTTGGTTTTAGTCGTGTTGTGTTTGTGGTGTAATGTGATGCATATGTGGCTCAGGGACCCCCTCCCGCCCGGCTCTGGAAAGGGGTTAAAACTTACCTTTTTCCAGCGCCGGGCGGGGAGCTCTCCTCCTCCGATCCGCCCCGTCGGCTGAATGCGCACGCGCGGCAAGAGCTGCGCGCGCATTCAGCCGGTCGCATAGGAAAGCATTTATAATGCTTTCCTATGGACGCTTGCGTGCTCTCACTGTGATTTTCACAGTGAAAAGCACGCAAGCGCCTCTAGCGGCTGTCAATGAGAAAGCTGCTAGAGGCTTTGGGGGAAGGCTTAACCCATTGATAAACATAGCAGTTTCTCTGAAACAGTTATGTTTATAAAACAATGGGTTAACCCTAGAAGGACCTGGCACCAAGACCACTTCATTAAGCTGAAGTGGTCTGGGTGGCTAGAGTGGTCCTTTAAGAGTGTAGTGTGTGTGTGTGTGTGTATATATATATATATATATATATATATTTGGAAGTATTGTGTATGTGTGTGGTGCAGTGTGTTGGGGGGGTTCTGTGTGTATGTGAGGGGTGCAGTATGTGTGTGTGTGAGGGTGCGGTGTGTGTGATGTGTGTGAGAGTGCCGTGTGTGAGTGATGGGTGTGAGAGTGCTGTGTGAGATGGGTGTGAGAGAGTGCTGTGTGAGAGTGCCGTGCGTGAGTGATGGGTGTGAGAGTGCCGTGTGTGAGAGTGCTGTGTGTGAGTGTGAGAGAGTGCTGTGTGTGTGTGAGAGTGCTCTGTGAGAGAGTGCTGTGAGTGTGATGGGTGAGAGAGTGCTGTGTGTGTGAGAGTGCTGTGTGTGATGGGTGTGAGAGTGCTGTGAGAGTGCTGTGAGTGTGATGGGTGTGAGAGAGTGCTGTGTGTGATGGGTGTGAGAGTGCTGTGTGAGAGAGTGCTGTGTGTGATGTGTGTGAGAGTGCTGTGTGAGAGAGTGCTGTGTGTGTGTGAGAGTGCTGTGTGTGATGTGTGTGAGAGTGCTGTATAAATGTTATTGTGTGTGTGTATGGGGGGTAAATAAAAAAAAACAGGCATTGTGTCCCCCCCTCCCTTCTTACCTTTAGCCTGGGAGGGGGGGGGACCGGCACGCTGGGACTGGGAGGGGGGGTCCGGCACGCGGTGTTCCCTGGTGGTCCTCGTGGGTGAGTGAACTCTAGCCTGTGAGGCTAGAGTTCACTCTCGCGAGATCCGGCCGTTGCCATGGCAACGCGCCGGATCTCGCGAGAGGAACCCGGCGGAGCTGCAAGTTAGAGCTCCGCCGGGTCCTCTCTCCAGCCTGGCTGGCTGTCTCCCTCTCTCCCCGCCGGCGGCCGCATGTGGGCCGGTCAGGGAGATCCTTGATCTCCCCACCGGCCCGTCGTGACAAACAGCGGGGCCGGCGCTCGGATAGTGCCGGCCCTGCATAGACCGGCAGGGGAGATCCTGTGATCTCCCCTGCCGGCCTCGGCCCATGGCCACCGCGGCCCACCGGGCATTTGCCCGGTGTGCCCGTTGGCCAGTCCGGGCCTGTTCAGGAGATATAGGGCTCTCATTTCATATCAAATATTTGTATATGAAATGTTTTTAAATGAATAACATCTAAAAAAAAAAAAAAAAAGTGACAAATTAAGTTCTGCATTTGTTTATTTTTTTCTCTTATTTCAGACGCGTACCTGCCTTATGTAAGTTTGATGATACTTATATGAATCAAGCCTTGGTACTGTGTCATAAATATCATAGATATAGCAAATATTTCTTGCAATTCTTGAAATCTTACCAAACTCTCACACCCCAATCCCCTCCTTCTCTATTAATTAGTTCTTAATATAGGTTTTTATCAATTTACTTTGTTCATCTGGTTTTGGAGAGGGAGAGAGCGAGAACCTCTGATCATATATAGTCTTAATATATGTTATTCTCTTTTTCTGCCCGTTTTTGGGGTTCTATTATTTTCTTTTCTTCTCCCTTAGATCTAATCCTTCCCTTCGCTTTTATTGCAATAAAATACACATATTAGTGTTCAGCGATGTCTCATCTCCATGTTTTATGGAAAGTTACAGGGTCAAAACATAGAACTTGCCCCTTTTTAGTTCATGCACATTGGAATTTGCTAGATTGGTTATGTGCCTAACCGATCTAGAAAACACTTTGTTGACAAGGTGGACATATACTTCGTAGAGCAATCAGCTGTTAACGTTAAGTGCCTACAGACTATGTTAAGCCTGAACAGTTGTGGCTTCGGTAACAGACGCCACTGTCGTAATGTCACATGTATTCAGAATGGGGTTGGTTTAATCTTTTTAGTAGCCACTTAGTCACACACGGGCCACAGTTCATATTTGGTTTTTGTATTTAAAAAAAATAAAATAAAAACTGCCCTTTCACCAATGATACAAATGTCAGTATACGTTTTACTGCTCTAAAACAGTCATGTGGTTAGCGATGTCTCACAGTACCTACCATGTACATGTTTTAGGGGGGTTCTGGAAAGTTACAAGGTCAAATATACAGCTTGCAAAAACAAATATGAACATAGAATAAAAATTTGATATTTTATAACTTACATGTTGGTGGATCTGCCTAACAACCCAGGCAGTTCCCCTGCAGTCAGTTTTGCAATCTGGCCGATAAGACATGTGATCGTTGTGCTATTGCCATCACATGACTTATAGCAGCAGGATTGGGTGCTGGGTGACTGCCTCAGTTGTCAGGCAGGTCGGCCGATTGAATTCGGCGAGGAGGAGTAGTAAGAAAACCGCAGGGAGGGCGCAAGCATTAGGACGTGATATACCGCCCTAACTGTGTTAAAGCCCTCCTTTAGTAGGAAAGCATAGCACACCCTAATGTTGGGAAGGGGTTAGTATTAGTCTAAACTCTCATGCAGGTACACGTAACATCTCACGTTGTTGGGGGTGTAGTCCTTCCTATATTATTCAGGTAATTGAGATCTAGCAAGACATACAGGATAATAGGTGGAGCTGTGTAATATCTTGAATAATCTGTAAAACAGAGTACATGCAAATAGCGTAGTATGTCTATAAAATATATTTAGACTTGAAAAATAAGGTGGTTGAACTCACAAGGCTAGAGTCATACCATCATATGACTAAAAGTATGCTTCTTTGGACCATTTGGGGGTTGTCCAGACCCTTCTTTGGTTGGTTTCTTGATATTCCCCCTTGTGATCCTTAATACATCGCCCAAGGAATGCCCAGTAAATAGTAATATTTGTTTATTCCAAAGGTAAAAGTAACAATTCCATATACCAATAAATATTGGGTATAGGTAGAGTCAAATGCAAGTTAAAATATGAGTGTCCGAGCAGGGGCGGACTGAGAACCCTCAGGGCCCCCGGGCAAAATAAATCAAGGGCCCCCTTACAGGCCCCACCCATACTCTGCAGCAAGCGCCACCCTTGTCCCGCCTCCAGCCACACCCTACACAATCTTTAGACACAAGGAACAAAAGGGCAATAAGCCCTTCGAGGCCCCAGCAGAGACTACAATTGAGGGCTAATGGGCCATGGAGGGGGGTCTTTCTAGCGGGGCTATCTCAGTGTCCTTTAGAGAGTGTGTTAGAAAGAATCCCCTCCAGGCCCCATTAGAGACTACAATGGAGTCTAATGGGGCCTGGAGGGTGGTCTCTCCAACACTCTGGTTTCTATTCACAATATAGCAACACAACATAGCTCGCTGATACCTAGGCCAAGTTGGCTCCTCTTACCTTAATTACTGTTGCTGGCTGGCAGTCTGTGGGCTTGCTTGCTGCGGCTGGCAGGCTGTGGGCTTGCTGGCTACTGCCGGCAGGCTGTGGGCTTGCTGACTGCGGCTGGCAGGCTGGGCTTGCTGACTGCGGCTGGCAGGCTGTGGCTTGCTGGCTGCGACTGGCAGGCTGTGGGCTTGCTGTAGGCCTGTGGGCTGGCTACTGGCCTGTGGGCTGGCTAACTGGCTGGCTACTGGCCAGCCTGTGGGTTGACTGGCTGGCTACTGGGGCACTTGTAAATTATTTAAAGAAATAATCTATGCACAATAACCACTACTGCTCCAGAGTAAGTAGTCAAACCATTTAAGAACAGTTTGACAACTTACCTGGGATCTGCTGGGATATGGGGCTGTAGTAGGGAATAGGAGCAGTGGTGCAATGTGTGTGAAAGGTTCAGTGTATGTGTAGGGTGTGTGGGCTGTGTATGTGTGTGGCAATGTTAGTATGGGGGGCTGTGTATGGGGGTCTGTGTGTATATGGGTGGGCAGTGTATGTGTGTGTGTGAGGCAATGTGTGTAAATGTGTATGGTGTGTATGGGGGCAGTGTGTGAATGTGTATGGTGTGTGTTTGGGGGCAGTGTGTTTATGGGGCTAGAGTTCACTCTCACCACTGCGACCACCAGGAATCCCTGGGGGTCACAGTGTTGAGAGTGAACACTAGACCGTAGCTCCAGGACTAGAGCTGACTCTCGCAAGAGCGATAACGTTGCCATGGTAATCGCGGCAACGCTCTGTGCTCGTGCAAGAAGGACCCAGAGGAGCTGCAGGGTGAGCTCCCAGGTCCTCTCTTCCTCCCTCCCCTGCCCGCATGGTGCCTGCGGACAGGGGAGGGGGCAATTGCCCTGTTGCCCCCCTGGATCCACCAGTGATATCTACAGCCCTTCTGTGTGCCTTTTTGTCTCCCCCCGTCCCTCTGTATGTTTCTTCCTCCCCCCTCCTTCCCAGTCTCTCTTACCCCTCTGCCTCTTTCTCCCTCTCTTCCACTGTTTTTCTCCCCCCTTTCCCTGTCTCTCTCTCCCCCACATCTCTCTTCCTCTGTCTTTCTCCCCCTCCCTATCTCTATATTCCCCCTCTTTCTCCCCCTGTGTCTCATTCTTCCCCCTCTGTCTCTTTCTCCCCCTCCCCATCTCCCTATTCCCCCTCTTTCTCCCCCTCTTTCTCTTTCACCCCCCACCTATCTATTCCCCCTCTTTCTCCCCGTGTCTCATTCTTCCCTCTCTGTCTCTGTCTCCCCCCTCCCCATCTCTCTATTCCCCCCTCTTTCTCCCCCTCCCCATCTCTCTATTGCCCCCTCTGTCCCCCCCTCTTTCTACCCCCTCCCCAACTCTCTGTTCTCCCTCTTTCTCCCCCCTCCCCATCTCTCTATTGCCCCCTCTTTCCCCCATCTCTATTGCCCCCTCTTCCCCCCATCTCTCCTATTGCCCCTCTTCCTTCATCTCTCTATTGCCCCTCTTCCCCATCTCTATTACGCCCCTCTTCCCCATCCTCTCTATTGCCCTCTTCCCCATCTCTCCTGTGCCCCTCTTCCCCCCGTCTCTCCTATTGCCCTCTTCCCCCTCTCTAATTGCCCCTCTTCCCCATCTCTCATTGCGCTCCCTCTTCCCATCTCTCTGTTGCCCCCTCTTCCCCCATCTCTCTGTGCCTCTTTACATCTCTCTATTGCCCCCCTCTTCCCCCATCTCTCCTATTGCCCCCTCTTGCCAAGTCACAGGGGGCCGGCCGTTGATGCTGGGCGGCGGGACGGGTGGCAGCCTGCGCCGGTCCGGCCGACGTTCCTCTGACCAGCACCAGAAGGGAGGGCGTGTGTCACCATCATGCTCCTGCTGATTCCACAATTCCAGCACGGGATGGCAAGACCGCAAGGTACTCTGACGGGCACGGCAACCGCCACTCGACCAGTCCAGAGGAATCACTGCCGGTGGCGATACCGATCCACAGCATCCTTCGAACAATGCCACCGGACTGGCCACCCGGTGGCACCTTCCTCTGCCGCCCCCAATTCAGCCCTGCCGCCGGGCCCCCTGAGGGCAGCCCTGGCGGCGGGCCCCCCTCCCGGCCGGGCCCTCGGACCGTGTCCGAAGTGCCCGACCGGTCAGTCCGCCCCTGTGTCCGAGTGTCCAAAACGCGTTTCGCCTGATTAACAGGCTTCCTCAGTTGGCTGTAATGTCTGCTCTGATTCTTTTCCCTTTTAAAAACTCCCGCTTGACGGTTTTGCCGCCTTCATACGTCACTTCCGGGTTCCGTGTGTTGGAACGCAATGTGCGTTCCAACCCCGGTGTTCATTTCCAGGTTGAGTCTAGGTGGAACGCATGTGCATTCCAACATGTTCGTCTCACTTCTCCTCATCCGACAGCCACTCAGTACAGCCGGATGGAGTCGTTCCACCTGCATGTTATGTAGATAATATC